CTTTCATATCAAAAAAATTTTTAACTCTCAAAAACTAACTCTCCATTCATCAAATTTATCAAATTTTATTCCGCAAATTTCTTACATTTTTCTAATTTATTATTATACCAAAATTACTGCAAAATAAGAATGGTGTTACACGATAGTAATGTTTTTCGAGTCCTAACTATTTTTTAGTTATATCACAATCTCATTTATTAGTGAATTTTGACATGTTATCCAACTTGGTACTAGGAGTGCAACTTAGGCAGGTCAACCTGAATTCAATCCGAGCTCAACTAGAAAAAAAAAGATTGGGTTAGAATTTTTAATATTTGAGTTGGTTCTAGGTGAAAAAATTCTAACCCGAATTGAATTTGGGCAAATCTTGGGTTGAGGCCTCGAGTTATAGGGTTTAACCCAAATATTAAAATCGGAATCAACCTGATTATTAAATCGGGTTAAACCCAAATAGACATAAATATATAAATATATTTAATTAGGGTTACTTTTTATCTTTAGAGTCTTGACTTTTACTTCATTTCAAGTCTTCACTCTTGTGCCTCCATCAGTCTCAAATTCTTCTCTCACTCATCACTCCTCCCTCTCTCAGCCTCCCTTTCTCACTCGTCACTCCTCCTTTTCTAACTCCCTATCTCTTCATCTGTGCCTCACCTTTCATGTCATATCACTTGAAAAAATCAAATCTACAATAGAAAAAATTAAATCTACACTTTAAAAAATCAACTCAAATTAAGTACCCAATTTTAACCCGAAATCAGTCTGAATTTAAGTAACTTGAATTCAACCCGAGCCTACCCGAATTGAACTCAGGCAGTACTCGGGTTGAGTATCTTGAGTTGTGGTAGGGTTATGATTAGAATTAAGATTAAAATTAAAAATTATATAACTAAGATTGACTTTTCAACCCGCATAAGTCACCAAAAACTGCACCCCTAACTGGTACCGTAGTCATCGCGGTCTATATCACGTATACAAGTCAATACCCATGGTTGAGAATGTGTTGGGGGGCTAAGGCAGCCTCTCTATTTTTCTATGACATGCTTGACAAGGAGTTGGGTGGACTGTAATTACCCACTTGTTAAGCATAGGAAAGAGGCATCATTGAAGCACCCATTCAATATTTGAACTTAGACAGATGATAGATGGACTTATTGTGCTAGACTTGAGGTAGATTGCAAAATAAAATGCAAGGAAAGTGGTATTACACCACAAAATAATCTTTGGAAAATTTTAGAGAAATTTTAGACAGTTTTTTTTCCTATAGTTGAAATTCATTAACAGTGGAAATTAGGAGGAAATTGTATGGGACAACGAAGGAAGTATCAGACGGCGTTGACTGATCGAAACATATTTCTTGAAAGTTTTTATGGTCATAGAAAACAAGGAACGACTGGTTTTGATTTTTAAGGGTTGAAATCAACAACTCATATTCCTTAGAGAAAAGTATACCTTCTTGATTAACAAAAAGAACTTCCTGGAAATGATTTATTAAGAGCTAAAAAATTATAAGCTGATATAGATTGAATCATGGTAAAAAAACAAAAAACAAAATAATTGTAGGGGTGAGAATTTCAATCGGCTGTGTCCATTAGAGTAAGGTGTTCAATTTTTCGATTACCTGTAAATTCTGATCCTATCCTACATTACCAAACCTTACTGATAGGCTAACCAAAATAATCGGGTAGGCCAACGAAAGATCTTTTGATATTTTACAAAAAATCGAATAGAATTGTGGAATAACAATAAAATTTTCGTATTCCTATTCTATTCTACCCGCATATATATCTATATAATAAAACAAAAATATGTTTAAATTTTATCTCAGTCATATTTTTCTCCTTAAAATCATCATCAATCACTTACCTCACACATCATCCCTTTATCAGACTCAAACGTCTAATCACATTACTTATTTCTATCACATGTTTAATCATTTATATATTTTCTCCCTAAAGATATCACATCATTTATTTTTATCATATATTTAATCATTTAATATTTGATTACTTTATAATTAATATATTTTGAAAAAATTTAATATAGTGGAATCGATTTTTTAAAAGCTCAAATTTTATATTTTATCGTGCATTTAGGTATGAGTTATGAGTAGTATATCTATATAATAAAACATGACTGTGTTTGAATTTTATCTCAGTCATATTTTCCCCCTCAAAACCATCATCAATCACTAACCTCACCCATCATCCATTTGTCAGACTCAAACATCAAATTACATCATTCATTTATTTCACATATTTAATCATTTATATATTTCCTCCCTAAAATTTCATACCACTCATTTCAATTATATATTTAATTAATTTGTAGGTAATATATTTTGAAAAAATTTAATATAGTGGGATCGATTTTTTGGACGCTCAAATTTTATATTTTATCGTGCCTTCAAGCATGGGTTATAACTAGTACAGATGATGTATTGATGTTTATGTCTTTCCTGTTATGTTTTATTGTAATTAATTTGGTTGTTAATAATAATTAAATTATTGGTACAGATTATATGTCACTATTTTTTTTAAATATTACTATTTTTGAGTTTGAATGTTTCATATTATTATTTTTTTGACCATGTTACTTTTTTTTTTTTGGTTGAGCATGTTACTGGTTTTATTGAACATGTCACTACTGTTATTTTTCAAATATTAATATTCAACGTTACTATTTTTTTTTTTGAATGTTATTATTTTTGTTTTTTAAATGTTAACTATTTTTTTTGTATTTGAATATTACTATTTTTTGTTTTTCATGCTATATATAAATATGATAGAGATAGAAAATTTTAATGTTAATCAAACTTCTAAAATTTAGGAGTTGTTAAATTTTAATTTTTTTTAATTAAATATATTTATTGAGTGTATTTTGGACAATAAAAATTAAAATGGACTTATTCTCCAAAATGTTTCTTTGATGAACTTCTTACCAAATAAGTCCACATATGGGGACTTGCCCCCAAATTTCTATTGTAATTATTCCACGAGCTGGCCCGAAAGTTCGACAACCCATCCGATTATCATGAGGTGGCTTGGCGATTGGAGGCCACGAGACGGGAGGCCACGAGACGGCAGGCCATGAGGGTTAGTGACAGGGATGGGACCAGAATTTCATTATTGGGGTGGGGTGGGGTGGGGTGGGTTGGGAAAGGGAGAGGGGATCTTTGTAAAAAAATCATACCAATTACGAGAACTATATCATGTAGACAAGTCAATACCCATGGTTGAGAATGTGTTTTGGGGGCCAAGGCAGCCTCTCTATTTTTCTATGACATGCTTGACAAGGAGTTGGGTGGACATTCATTACCCACTTGTTAAGCATAGGAAAGAGGCATCATTGAAGCACCTATTCAATATTTGAACTTGGACACATGATAGATAGAGACTTTGAAGTAGATTGCAAAATAAAATGCAAGGAAAGTGGTATTACACCACAAAATAATCTTTGGGAAATTTTAGAGAAATTTTAGACAATTTTTTTTCTATAGTTGAAATTCATTTACAGCGAAAAATAGGAGGAAAATTGGATGGGACAACGAAGGAAATATCAGACGGCGTTGACTGATCGAAACATATTTTTTAGAAGTTTTTATGATCATAGAAAACAAGGAACAACCGGCTTTGATTTTTAAGGGTAGAATTTGACATCAACAACTCATACTCCTTAAGAGAAAAGTATACCTTCTTGATTAACAAACAAGAACTTCCTGGAAATGATTTATTAAGAGCTAAAAAATTTCAAGCTGATATAGATTGAATCATGGAAAAAAAATAAATAAATAATTGTAGGGGTGGGAATTTCAGTCGGCTCTATCCATAAGAGTAGGAGTGTTCAAATTTTTGATTACCTGTAAATTCTGATCCTATCATATTTTACCAGATATTACTGATCGGCTATCCAAAATAATCGGGTAGGCTAACGAAAGATCTTTTGATATTTCACAAAAAATCGAATAGGATTGCAGAATACCAATAAAATTTTCGTATTCCTATCCTATCCTATCCTACCCTACCCGCAAATATATATAATGTATTTATGTTTATGTCTTTCTTGTTATGTTTTATTGTAATTGTCTATGTATTATCGAATTTATTATATTTTTTTTAGTGTTATTGGTTTATTGTGCTAGTTAATTGATACATGTTACTTAATTAAATTATTAAAACGATTCAAAAATTAATAACTAAAAAATATGTGTTCACCCGATTTCTTATGATCTCCCACCCGATTATTTTGGACGGAATTCGAGTATGAATAATACACTTGATCGGGTGGGGTACGCCAAGAAAAAAAATTTCGTAAAATATCGGCTAAGAAAATAGAATACCATAATTCCAACCCATAAGATAGGGTGAACATCTGTACTTTAGAGTGTCCTTTTTAACAAAATTTCAGAAGCAATTTATTTGATTTTCTTTCGATTGGTACAAAGTTTTTGAACTATTTACTCAACTTGATTGATGATTAACCCTGGAGTTATTTTACAACTTATGTTGAAGGACTTGATTGAGAATCTAGTACAACTATTAATCCTTTAGAGGCAGGGAAAATTCAGTATATTGCAACTTTAGGAATCAGGGCTCTTGCAACGCTCTGGCTTATAACGGGATCTAAAAGAGATAAGTTTACCACATGTTAGAAAACTAGGTTAATTCTCGCACCCGAACAAATGTTCTTTACAAAGCCTGTCTATGTATCTCATTTTCCATTTTTATTTTGCATTATTAATTCTGAAAATTAGAAAACAAAGTCCTGCTTCGGGGTTGAGAATTTCATAAATGAAATGTGCTAAACCTCAGGCTACTTGTCCTAGAGATGCAATGGCTTCTGTTTAAATGAATTGCAGAAATTTTTGATAGAGAACTATTTGGAAGCAAATCTTCTACATCTCAGTATAGCTATATTTACATGGAAGTCACTCTAATGCCTAAATAAACGAAAGGAAAATAATAGTCGTCTCAAGGGTTAAAATAACCAGAAGTTCTTGATCATCGACTTCCAAAGAGAAGGGATTCTGCAACAGATGGTGAATGTGGACATGCAAACTCCATAGAAGACTGATACGACATGGAAAAATCATCAAAGCCCTGACGATTTGCAGACGTTAGGCCAGTGGCCGAAATACCAAGTGATGATAAGTCAGGCAGAAGAATGGAGCCCTCCAAATACTGTAGAACTTGCCTCATACTCGGCCTAGCTACAGGCTCTGATTGAGAGCACAACAAGCCAAGCTTCAATACCAACTTCACTTCATCTGCAATGTAATCACTGCCCAAATTTGGATCAATTACTTGAAGAATCTCACCTCTGCTCCAGCACGAAAACACCCAATCGACTAAAACCAGATCTTGATCGCTTGATTCTCGTCGTGGCTCTATTGGTCTCCTTCCACAAACAACCTCTAGCAAAAAAGCCCCAAAACCATATACATCAGTGCTTATTGTGGCCTTGCCAGTTCTGGCATGTTCAGGGGCTAGATACCCAAAAGTCCCGGCCACAATGGTTGTTTGAGGGTCAGTCCCGTGATCATACAATCTCGCAAGACCAAAATCGCCTAATCTTGCATTTAATTCACCATCTAATAAGACATTACTGGCCTTGACATCTCTGTGAACTACCACTTGTTCCCACCCTTCATGTAGATAGAAAAGTCCTGATGCTACGCCTTTGATGACTGCAAATCTTTGGGTCCAATCCAAGGTGAATTGTGGTTGGTCGTAGAGGAACTTATCTAGACTTCCATTGGGCATATACTCATAAACCAAAAGGAGCTCTCCTTTACGCCGGCAATAACCCAAGAGAGATACTAAATTCCGATGGCGTAATCGACCAATACTGACAACTTCAGCAACAAATTCCCTAATCCCTTGTCTTGAATCATGAGACACCCGCTTCACTGCAATTTCAATTTTCGAGGTGGGTAAGACCCCTTTGTATACCCTACCAAAACCCCAATCCCCAATATCTCTTTGTCTCTAAACCCTTTGGTGGCAATATACAAATCTTTGTACTTGAATCTATGTGGTCCATAGTCAACTTCCCAATCTTCAAGCACTTCTGCAAACTTTCTCTTCCTTCTTATATGAAAAATTAGGCCTGAAATCACTAATAACATAGACACAATGGAAATAACAGGTAGCCCAATCTCCAACATTTTCGATTTCTCTTCAGGTCCAAGTCGAGGAAGTCGAGAGAGATCTAGCCCTTGAGCCATACCATTCATCTTAAAGCTCCACCCCAATATATAATGAGATGTGGGGATTGAACCAGTAGATGATGAAAAGCCTGCATACATGGTCTGATTCATAACCGATGAAAGATCCAGGTGCAAAGATAATAGTGGAGTATTTGGCTTACCCACGTTTATTGGAGCTAAAGTGACTTGAATTTGCTTAGCATCACCATCATAATCCACCCAAACTTGAATTGGGTCTCGACTAATGAGCTTCAAGTCCTGAAACTCACCATTACTACTAGCATAATATCCTGCTGGCTCTGACACTTTGGATTCTAATCCATTAATATCAATTCCAACATGGTTGTTATTGGTGTCATTAAGATCGAGATTTTTTATTGTATCAAGTTCGACTGCAAAGATATGGTTGCTGGCATTGCCATCGTTGGTGTCATCAAAGAGACCAAGATACTCGCTTGGAAAAGATTGTGTAAGGCCTCTAGTGGGTGCAATTACAAAAGCAATTCCATGGCCACCCACAGTCGGAGAGTCCGAGACAATACCGAAAACAAAAGAGGTGGAAAAGGAAAAAACTGAACCAATTGATGAGTTCTTGAAGTTGATGGGATTGGGATAGAAGGCATGACCCTTTTGTTGGTCGGTGGTGTTGGTGAGCCTCAAGAGGCCATTTGGTGTGAACTCAGCTATGCCGTGGAGACTCAGGTTCGCCGCCGATCGAAATCCATTGTAGATGAAGCCAATATCTTCTTGAGAGGCTGCTAAGCCAATACCATAGAGAGACACCACCACCACCATTATTACAAGTTTGCAAAACATGGCTAAGTTTCAGCAGACTATAACTTTAGCAGACTGTTCACAACTCTCTCTATTTATGTCTGTTAATGTGGACATTGGTTTTCATATTTTTGTGATAGGGAGCCGTGTGACAATCGTGCAGGTTCACCCATCTTGCCGTTCAAGTCAATCACGTTCAAAGATCCTAGATGTTCAATGGATTTTTTCAAACTTCGTAATATGAATGTCCACATATGTTTACGGTCTTGATCGGGAGTTTGATGGAAACAACGGAGTCAAACCCCTTGGCAGTAAAAGTGCTCACTAAAATACCATTTTTTTTTTTTTGGTGGGGGGGGGAGACTCACAATGTAAAAAGTACTATTAGACCAAAAATTCATTCGTATCCATATAACTATCCAATTTAATATATAAATAAACACAAAAGTAAATATAATTAACATTTCAAAAACATAACAATATTTTTATATATATAAAAAAAAATAATCTTATGAGTTAAACAAAATGTAAAATATTCATTTTTATAAAATATAACGATTTATGAGTTCAAAAAATTAATGCAAAAAAGTTGAACATTCTTTCCAAACCATTTACTCTCTCAGTAATATCTGAAAAAATTATAAAATTATTGTTACAATACTGAAATAATATTTATATACATATATACAATAAAGAACTAAAAAAGGTTAGAATATACATCAATAAAGGGTCACACAATATTTCTCTGAATAACTTGTCCAATTATGTAAATGATATATAAACGATTCTTATCGTATACATTTCTTTTAATTGGTTTCACCAATACCTGATTCGTTTATAATCGTATTGTGACGGATCTACTCGTTTATTAAACAGGTGACTTAAAGAAGAATCAAATCCACTAATTTTATGTCATGTTAATAGGTCGTGTTATATTTTGGCACCCCTAATTTTGATATAAAAACTTGACTTTGTAGAGTTTAATTTTTTTTTCTTTGAACTGAAAATTGTCTTTTGATGTTAAACTACGTAATTTTATAAAATATTACTTGTAATATAAAAAATAATTGTAGTCAATACAAATTTTTTTTATAGTTTTTCTTCTTTAAACAATAAAATATTTTTTAATCTAAAACAACATTTTAATGTTTTATGAAATATTATCTACTATGGGAAAAGTAGCTGCCATAAATGTAAAAAATTCTTTTGAATTTATAAAATATTATTTGAGATAGAAAAAACAGTTGTCTCAAATATAAATTTTTTTTTTGAGTTTATGACATAAAATAGTTGTTACAACTATTAACACAAACATGTTTTTTGTGACGACAAACACAGTCGCTACAAAAAATTGTCTTTAATACATCTTTTATGACGACAAATATAGTTGTTGTAAAAAATTTGTCACAAAAAATATTTATTTTTGTAGTGGCGAAAGGTAAAAGTCAATTGGCTCTATTATTGATTTAACGATGATATTGAATTAAATCAATAAGTTAAAAATAATTTCAATTGTTACTTTGTATTTATTACTTGAGCTGGCTGAAAGCGTGACAACCCATCAAATCATCACGAGGTGGCTTGGCGATTTGAGGCCACAAGACGGAAGACCATGAGAGTGGGCGACTGGTACAGAACCAAGATTTCATCACTAGGATGGAGAAGGGACGGGGCAACCTTTGAACAAAAATTCATACCACTGAGGTGAACCATATTGAACTTGTTAGATACTAGTTTATAAATTGTAACAAGAAAATATCATAAACAACACAAAAAAAACTACAAATAGCTACTAAATTAAAAGCATATCATAGTTTATGTAATATTATTATAGTAGTACCTCTTTTATGAAGAGGTCATTTCATTAAATAAAATATATTTTATGGAGTCATTATATGTGTAAATGACTAAAAATAGAGGAATAAAATTCTAGAGAGCCAATGCATTACAAAAATGGTATTTAGTACTACAGATATATGTGTATAAAGTTTCTTGATCAACATGGAGGAGGGGGACCATGGCCCCATGGTAGTTTCGTATCTTGTATGCTGACAAGTGTTAGAGGTTGGGTGGTTTTATCAGAGCGAATGTAATACGGTGCTAGCACGGATTAGAATAAATCACAGTTTTTATGTATCAAATATACACATACTCTTAATCTACATGAAGGTAAGAGAAAAATTTGAGATATGATATTATTAAATGAATGTTCTTAATACATAAACATAGTATATGTAAAGACGTTCCCAAAAACGAAGAACCCCTAATTCTACAAAATTTATCAAAACCCAAAAAAAAAATTAATGTAAGAAATAAACACAAAAATGTTGGAGCTATTGGCTTGGTCTGCAACGTGATAGCTAAATAATAGGTAGGAGTTGTTATTTAAACTGTTAAGTAAGCTAGTTTGTAGGAATTGATTTGTTCAATTTTGTTTAGATATGTTTTCCTTGTGTTTCGATTTTTCTGTTTGTAAGGCTTTATAAAAGCCTCAGTTATTTTTCTACTTGAAAGAATAAGGATTATCAGTTTCCTTTATTTGGTATCAGAGCGAGCAAGGACCTGATAAAAGAAACATACAATTTGAGCGTTTGAGAGGAAAAACACGAAAACAGGAAATGACAACTGATTCAGGAAGCTTCACAACACCATGTGTTCCAAAATTCGACGGAGACTACGATCACGGGAGTTTGATTATGGAAAATCTCATGCGTTCTAAGGAATATTGGAGCGTTATTCAATCTGGTTTCGAAGAACCAAAGGGAAACGAAGCCGTAGACACAGCCCAACAAAAGGCAATCGACGAAGCAAGACTCAAGGATCTCAAAGCAAAGAATTATCTCTTTCAATCCATAGATAAGAGTATCTTGAAAACCATCACTCAGAAGGAGACCGCCAAGCAATTGTGGGATTTGATGATGCACAAAAATGGTTTTGCACACCACCTGTCAAGTGTAGATAATAAATGCAATGAAATCAATGAAAAAATTGAAGAAGACACAATTTATAGTGGTTCGGTCAATTCGACCTACGTCCATTCTTCAATGGCTTCAGTTGCCGGGTATTTTATTGATTCAAAGGTATGGAGAATGGAGATACAAGCTTTGAGAGAGAGAATGGAGAATCAAAGAAAATAGTAATCTCCGGTCGTCCTCTGTCTGTCTCTAGTGGGGCGTGATCCCCTTCTTCTACCAGATTGGAGCTATTTTATAGCAGCTAAGAGATCATCCTCCTGTAGATCATGACATATCCTTAAGGCTTTTTTATCGCAGCTAAAAGATTATTCTTGCTGGAGATCACGACTTATCCTCAACGGAAGGAGGAGGTTGGGGAGCTCTTCATGAAACGTGGTCAAAGATAGGACCGTTTCCTTCGGTGGTACAGATAAGCTTCTCGTGCTCTCCTCTTGGTGACGTGCTAAGCAAGAAGTCTAACCGGCCTTGGACTGTCTTGGACTTGGTGGATTTGGACCGTTTCCTTTGGTGGTGCAGATAAGCTTCCCGTGCTCTCCTCTTGATGACGTGCTAAGCAAGAAGTCTAACCGGTCTTGGACTGTCTTGGGCTTGGTGGAATCAAAATGAGGTTGGGCTCCTCAACTGGGGTTGGACTTTAACACATAAATTGGACTATTTGGGCTTAACCCATCATTTGCCCCCAATACCCCATGTCCAAGGAGACTTGGAGAAGGAGCCATTGATTACATTTTTTTTTTTTTCAAGTCTTTTCCACTTTATTTTAAAGAAGACCCATAATATTCTGTTTGGCCTTTTATTTTGTAGA